GAAAACTGTAAATAGATGAAAACGTATTTTGGATCTAAACCGAAGAAACTACGCTTTCCAAAGAAGAAAACGTATTCTGGATTTGCACATTGGACTGCAGGTTCTATAAACAAAAACCCGAGAGGCTCTTTAGAAAATATAGAAGGACTGCAGGTTGAGATCTAAATAGTTGTAAGGGTTTTTTTTGCAAATTTCACAGTGAAGGGGTATCTTCTATCTGGGATCGTCCGATCCAGATCGGATGGCTACGATCAAATGGAAGGGAGAGAGAGAGGGCTGGCCGGCCGGCGGTGGGGTTGGCGGTGAACTACACGGCGGCACCATTGACAGAGCGGGCGGTGCTCGTCGAATTCGGTCTACAGACGACCATTGAACGAAGTAAGAGCATGGGGAGAAAGAGGGGACGACGGCAGACTCGGCTAGGTAGCTTACCTAGGCGCGGGGCGGACGGAGGCGACATGGCGCACGGCGAGGTGGACGACATCGACGGTGGCACTAGGTCTGCGGCGGCTTGGCGTCTTGGCGAGGGCAGCTGCAGCTGCGAAGCTTGGGATGGATGTGGCGAGCATGGGGCTAGGTATTTATGAGGCGGGGGCGGCTTGGACAGCAAGGCAACGGACGACGTGGCCGCAGCGGAGTCAGGCGGTGGCGGTGGAGTCCGTCCCGATCACGCACGGAGGAAGACAGCGCTGACGTGTGGGGCCCGGCTGTCAGCGGGAGGAAGGAGAGAAGGGGCGCGGCGCGGGCGCGCTGCTCAGCTGGGCCGACGCTCACTGGGCCGCGGCGGGAAATAGGAGTAGCAGGCTGCGGCGGAAGCGGGGAGGCTGACTGCGGAACTGGGCTGGCAGGAAAAACGGCCGCGAATAGAGGGGAGGGGAAGAAATCATTTCCCTTTTTCTTTTCTAATTTCCAAACCACATTTTGAAATGCAAATTCAAATCAATTTGAAGTTTGATTTCAAACTACACCATTCAAAAATAATATGCAGCAGCATGAGTGCACATACATGATTGTAAACCTATATTTGATTTTATTTTTAACAAAATTATTATTTTCCTAAATTTAAATATCATAAAAATACATAATTAAATCACTTCCTCCTATTTTAAAATTATATAAATTTTAGGGTGTTACAAAATCATTTCTGTATAACCAAAGCGACCAACAAGTAGCTACCACCCTAGCAAAACTAAAAAGTTTTAAATCCCTTCCAAACCCTCGAGGCAAACTCCCCAACATATGAGAAATACTATGAGGTTGAGGAATGCTTAAAGCAATATGTATGTAGCCCCAAACTATATGAGCAAAATGATATTCGAACAAGAGGTTCTTAATTGTCTCATTTTTATGACAAAAGCAACACTCTTTACTCATTGCTAACTGCGTTTAGCTAAGTTATCTTTTGTTTGAATCACTACTCCATGAAAATACCAAAGATTTTTTTTTTGTCTTTAGTTAGTGGAACCTTTAAATTCCAAATGATTTTTATTGAAGTTGAGAATATCTATATGAATCAAAGCCGAGAACTTGCTCTTTGGGTCAAAATTCTAATAAAACAAATCATGCCCTTGTGTAAGCCTGATATAACAATATGAGGAAGAAGTTCATTCCAAGCTACTAATTTAGGTTCAATCAAATCATGTCTCCATGAAATATTTAGAGGTGATGTACATGTACTAAAGAGTAAAGACCTCAACTATAGTATCATGCTTGTGTCTAGTGATATTATATAAGAGTATTGTTCCCTCAAAGTAGAGTTTCACAACCATTTATCCTCCTCAAATCTCACTTCGGCTTTGATTGTGATGGACCCAAGATGGAGAAAATCCAGTTCATATGACTACCCCAAAAATGTGACTCCCCATAGGAACCTAAATACTTGTTCCATATTATTTGTTGCCAAGTCCCATCAGTTGTATAAGCAACTTGAAAAGCCATTTACTTAGTAGTCTCATCAGTTGTTTTCCTAACCCCCCTTGATCTTTTGGCTGACAAAGTATGCTTCATTTGACAAGACGATACTTTCTCTTTTGGCCATCATTTTGCCAAAAAAAAAATCTTAGCGAAAGTAGTCTAATTTCATCAACACCTATGTTGTTGGAATTGCAAAAAAAGGACATCAGGCATGTATAAAGATAGACTACTAAGCACTGAGTTTATCAGTGTTAGATGTCCACCTCTTGCAAAACATGTATTCAATTGTTTAAAACTAAATTAAACCCGGCCTTTTCATTATTGTGGATTGAATTAATCCCCAACCTCTGATTCCTGGAAGAACCATATTGGGAAGTCGACACACGCAACGGACCTAATGCTGATCTAATGGTGGCCAGGAGTAGTCAGTCTCGAATCTTAAAGATGAGGTGTCACCGGTGACACGTTAGGCAGGCGCGCGGCCGTATGTACGTCCTTTAGGTTAGCACTCAGCATGGAAAATCTTCTCAGTGATCGATTCTGGACGAACCTGTATCGTCTATCGTGTTCTGCAGATCATCAAAGTTCATGCATGCATTCAAATTAACATAGCATCTCTCTTTATATCCTCCACCGTAAAATTTGCTTCATTCGTTGTTGTCACGCACACAATTATTCTGATCTGGACCCCATGCATGATGCATGCATTGACCGGTAGCCACCTTCACACTGTTGCAATTTGCATGGTGCAGGGGTGGAGTCGGTGGAGATCAACCGGAAGCAGCAGAAGGTGACGGTGAAGGGGTTCGTGGAGGCGCAGCGGGTGCTGAGGCGCGCCCAGTCCACGGGGAAGCGCGTCGAGCTGTGGCCCTACGTGCCCTACACCAACCTCTACGTCGCGCCGCCGGTGTACGACAAGAGGGCGCCGCCGGGCCACGTCCGCAGGGTGGACGCACAAATCGTCGCGCCCGCGGCTGGCCAGGAGGAGCACCTCGCCACGCTCTTCAGCGACGATAACCCCAACGCCTGCTCCCTTATGTGATAGCCTGCTGCTTGATTCATGCTAGAGCCTGCTCCGCCCTTAATTATGTGATGCTGCTTCATTCACACTGTACTAGCTAAAGCCATGTCTTGGTTTGCATGAACAAACTGCTCCGTAGTTACGCACTAATAATTTGTATCTCTTAATTACTTTGAGCCGTTCCGTAGTTACATATTTTTCAATCATATATAGAAATATCCAGTTTTGTATACGACCTCCTCAAGAAGAAATCCTACCAATTGCTCTTGAATTAATTTGAGCCGTTCCGTTGGTAGGAACTATTCCTTCTTCCACTCAAGCTTCAAATGAAAGAGAAAATATGAATATATGAACAAACTGTACTAGCTAATAGCGATGTCTTGGTTCGCATGAACAAACTGCTCCGTAGTTACGCAGTAATAATTTGTATCTCTTAATTAAACAGCTGATTTTTTCCTCTAAATTTTGATCCATCACGTTCTCTCCTTATCCGTGTGTGTATTCTTCACTCTCTGGAGCATGAGTCCTAACCAGGTTTACACTAAGAATATATGATGAGTTAGAGATTAGAATCCTAATTGGTTTATTATCCTTTATTCATCAAATGCATGATTATGTCCAAGTCATATTGGTCTCCACCTAGCACTACTGGATTCAGGTTCTTTGCCGAGTGCCTAAGGCACTCGGCAAAGGCCAAATTGCACTCGGCAAAGCCTTTGCCGAGTGTGGCACTCGGCAAAGAACACACAGCAAAAATTTGATCGGTAAAGTCCTCTTTGCCGAGTGTCTTTTATCGGGCACTCGGCAAAGGCTTTGCCGAGTGCCCCAGTGACACTCGGCAAAGAAAAGCGACCGTCACGGCGCCGGTCCCGTTGATGGTCACTTTGCCGAGTGCCAACCCTGCAGGCACTCGGCAAAGATTTTTTATTTTTTTAAAAAGAATTTCTTTGCCGAGTGCCAACCCTGCAGGCACTCGGCGAAGATTTTTTATTTTTTTTTTAAAAAAATTCTTTGCCGAGTGCCAACCCTTCAGGCACTCGGCAAAAGATTTTTTATTTTTTTTTAAAAAATTTCTTTGCCGAGTGCCCAGCCTTCAGGCACTCGACAAAGAATTTTTTTATTTTTTTTAAATTTTCTTTGCCGAGTGCGGCACTCGGCAAAGAGTTTTAATTTTTTTTACAAAATTTCTTTGCCGAGTGCCAAACCTTCAGGCACTCGGCAAAGATTTTTTTTATTTTTTTTTAAATTTCTTTGCCGAGTGGTCTCTGGCCGGCACTCGGCAAAATTTGAATTTTTTTTTAAATTTATTTGTCGAGTGCTCTCTGCCCGGCACTCGGCAAAGTTTGAATTTTTTTAAAAAAAATTCTTTACCGAGTGCCATGGTCACAACACTCAGCACAGCTAGAAAATGGTTTGTTGGGCGCCCATTTTTTTCAGCTTTGCCGAGTGCTGTGACCACAGCACTTGGCAAAGGAATCCTTTGCCGAGTGCAACGGTCAGCAAAGTGACCCAAAACGACAATTTTTTTTTATATTCCATCATGACAAATAAATTCATACAAACATATATCACATATATATCTCATCCATCACATATATATCTCATTCATCCACACATCCATCCGCACATATCACATCCATCCAATACCAGTTTGCAGGATACAAGAATTTCCTGAATGAGAGACAAAAAAATTGCCAAAGATGATCTTCTAAACATGAAAGTTCAGGTATACACACACGCTCAACACAGTTGTACACACACCTAGCTTTCTCTTCAGCTCTGACAACAGCTGCTTCTAGAATTACAGCATTTCCTCTAGCTTTTCCTAGTTTTGAGCACCACACCTGAGCTTCTTGAAGAGCAGAATCTCACTCTGTTAGCAAACGATCTCTCTCTTCAACAAGAAGCTTTGCTTTCTCCTCCGATTCCCTTAACTGAAACAAAAATACAGACAAGTTCAAATATTTTCATTGACATGAAACATTCTCATGGTGGTCTGAATCTAGTCTATAACACTTTAACTAATAAGCATTAGAAGATATGTGTACTGTATGCGATTGTTACCCTAAGCAAAACGTTCAAGTTCTGACGTAAAAAATCTTCTCTCTTCATCAATTGAACGTGCTGCAGAAGCAGCAGTTTCAGCTGCTTCTGCAGTCTCCTGTAACTTTTCTTCAATTTCATTGATGGTAGAATCACGTGCACGAATATCCTGCAACAATTGGTGGAGTTAAATGCGTCTTTAACTCGAAGGGTCTCCTGTTGGTACATAGATGCATTGCCATTGCCAGAAAAATAGAAACAAGAAAATAATTTCAGTATCCAATCATCAAATTATAGCATATTATAGTTTTAGAAGTATCGCTTTGAAAGACAGACTACAATAAAGTTATCCATCATATGAGCTTTAAATGTTTTATTATAGATGATAAGTTCATTATCAACTTTTGCATCACAGGATTACAAATCAGTTTTCAGTCAGTCAGTGAATTTTTTATGAAGTATTGTTGTCATATAATCCAGCTATAGCAACAGGGTGCTGAAAGGGAATATATATCTCCTGTTGGTTGCAGCAAATTTAGTATGCCAGGAAATTGGCTGGTAACTGACAAAATTCCTGTTGATTTAGCAATATTTTTGTTGATTTGGCAAAAAAAAAAAGTTATCATCTATACAAAGTAGTATAGCTTCTCACAGTGCATAAATGGTTTCAGCAACTATAGTCTATAGGACACACCATTTGCTGGTTTTTGGAGCACAGTCTTATGTACATTACATCAGCAATTCTAGCATCCACTGCTCAATTACTGAATAGTAATTCAGGTACTCTTATGTACAAGTAGTATATGGAAGAGCATACCATCATTATTGTGAGATCATCTAATTGGCCTTTGGTAAGTTTATTTGTAGTTGAGCCCAAAGTTGCCCGCAGGGAAATCTTCATTGCAGCCTCTACCTCCTTTGTTGCTTCAATTGCAGTGGCATTGGCTACAGCCACAACAGTTGCAACTGTTCCCAATTTTGCAGGACCATTCTCACCCAATGAATTCACGGCCTCCTTATGAGCCTGTAGTACCAACTGAGTCGCACTGCATATGAAGCAAGAAAATATTATTAGGCTTCAAGGTCTGCAGATATAACAGCAGTACACAAAATGGGAAATGATAGATCTGTGCACATCGAACATATCATACATCAACCAAACGAAATTGAAGGGAAGGGATATTATATATACTGAGGCAACCAAGTAACATTATCAATGAGGGAACCAAATGAAACCCTTTGCTTTGCAAGATGCTACAAGCAACTGTTTCTTTGTTTCACTTTGGAACAAGAGCGCCAGTAGCACTAACTATTTACAGGAAGCTTTTCTAATCATTGGGGAAGTGGTGAGCAGTGATCCAGGTCAGCTAATGAGAATACCATAGTAGAGCACCAAATAGAGCAAAATTTTCAACGTTTCTGATTCTGGTTAGAAATTACACAATAAAATAACAAGGAGTTTCACATCTGCTAATTCTAGTGTTTACCCATGAAAGTCTACTCCTCCATCCTAGAATACAATGGATCAAAGCATTCAAATGTTTTCATTAATGAGTAAATTGCATGAATTTCCATTTAAATAAACCTACCCGTAAAAAATTGCGTGATTTGCCATTATGTGTGCGGTAGTTGAGCAAGGCCTTCTCTAAATTCACCAACCACAGCCACCATATATGCATCAACTAAATAGCAGAGTTTAAGTCAAGGATGCATGGGTCTTTTGAAATTTCTCTTAATCTGTCTTAAATATCTAGGATCCAGGACAAATGGAGTAGTCCACTAATATGGTTTTCTATTTTTTTCCGCTTTTCAGTTCTGCCAATACTGACACTTACGGGAACAAATCAAACAGCAACCCACTATAGACCCAGTTGTACAAGTGCAAATAGCAGATTCAACATATATTCAATTAATGTTCATTTAATCTTAGTCAGTCCAGTGGCAGGGAAGAGATAATCCAACAGTAATGCAAAACTCATGGTTCAGGATAAAACCGGTTTCAGGGAATACAAAAGTTAAAAAGATAAATATAATCAAGAACCGTAGATTATCAAAGCTTACTGTAAAGTGGATACTCATGCTCTTGCAGCGCTGGGAGTTTCTGCTCAAAGAAAGTATTCCTTTTTCTGTGGAGTTCCAATATCTAGAACACTAGTCAAAGAACGCAGCGAATCAAATCTAGACAAAAGGAGAAGAGAGGAAACATTATAACACAAAGATACCCCATAAGGATACAGAAACAGCATCCATCATATTTTGCCAGTCCACTGCACCAAGTGTTTGCACAGGTCATTACAAAGTTTCCACAGCGTATATCCAAAAGTCATGACGGACTAGAATAGAATTAGGTCCATACTGGAAGTTCATAGGCGATAGTGTCACTGTGCTTGTCGAATCAAACACGATTACTCCCCTAACATCTTTGTCACTCCTATGGACCCTACATCATCCAAAAAATTTGGTGTCATTCATTTGGCGTTTCAGGTACCGCCTCTTTGGCAAAAAGGAAAACAACTCTGCAGTTACAGTATTTGTATTCTATTTTTCCAGTTGTAGGATCAAGTATGACCCAGCGCTCATTCCACTTTCTTAGCTGATATATATGAGTAAAAAGAAGAAACATCATAAGTGGAAGCGACAACGTGGAATCCAAACAAAAATAGCAATGCTATGATAATGAGAACACCTCAGAAGTCGCACATAGACTAGATGGTTTATACACGGCTACACTAGCAAGGAACTGAATTTGCAAATAAGAGGAAATGACAGTTGACAGGTAAACAACAAACAGATGTTAACTAGAGGCTCGCAACGGTATCCAAGCGTCAGCAATAATAGCACAGGTTGGCTTTCTAGCTGTTTCCTGCAGTAATTTCTATTGACATCGAGACAGGGAACCTGTACCAAACTGGAAATCCAGAAAGAAAGGGAAATGAAGGGAGTGGATTTACCGTGTCGGATCGCTTCAAGAGAGGGCCCTAGAGGAGGTGGCGGGTGGAGGTGGAGGAGAGCTGGCGCCGCACCCAGTCCAAGCTGCTCTGCATCTCGCCCACCACCTGCAGTCAGCTCGACGCAAGAGCGAGGAGCAAGAGAAATTCCCAGCAGCTCCCGGTGAGATCCCAGCTCAAATCATACGGAAACGCAAAGGAACCCGCCAGCGTCGGCCGATACCTGGCCCGATCTGGGGACAAGAGAGGAGTTGCCGGACTCACCGTGCTGCTGCTCCCGTTCGAGGCCATGGCTAGCTGCCGGTGCCGGCAGGACAAGAGGAAGAAGAGGAAGGAACCCCCTCCTCCTCATCCTCGCTTCCTCCTCGCCTCCTCCTCCATCCGCCGGCGTGGGCGAGCTGGCCACGCGCGGAGGGGCTGCGGCTGCGGCGGGCGTGGGGAGTGGCTGCGGCTGCGGCGCGCCGGCGGGTGAGCGGGCGGGGCACGGCGGCGTGCGTGTGTGCGTGTGTGGGAGGGAGGGTTCGGTGGCCGGTTGTCTAGTGCAGATGGTCCCGATCTGACACTCGGCAAAGACGCCGGTTCGCCGAGTGGCAGACCCACTCGACAAAGGAAACACTTTGCCGAGTGTCTGACAGCTGGCACTCGGCAAAGAGTATGGCAAATTATTTTTTTTTTGTATTTTGACCTCTAAATTTTTTTTTCTGTAGTTCTCTTATAGTACTTGGTAATCTATGTTAAAATTTGGTATATTTCTCGAACTGTTGGCTATATTTAGTTACTTTATTTCGTTTACTTGAATTTTTTCGAAAAATATAAATTTGAACTGCACGTGCATCGAATAATGAAATTTAATGATTCAAAAAATGATATTCACGTTACTAAGTGTAGTGTGAGGCCGTATCTAGGAACAGATCCAAAATTTCGAACATCTTGTTCACGAAACATGACCACGAACTTACGGACGAAGTGTTTATAAATTCTATAAAAAGCAAACGAAGTCCGAAAATCATAAAACTTGTTGAGATATCGTGATCTCATATGTGGAGGCTATGATAAAAATTTGAGAATTTTTGGTGCACGTTGTCACGTACGATGCTTACAAACCAGGACATCTCTACATGTGATATCAGATATCACATGTAGAGATGTCCTGGTGTAAGCATCGTACGTGACAACGTGCACGAAATCTTATGAAATTTTTATCATAGCCTCCACATATGATATCACGATATCTCAACAAGTTTCATGATTTTCGGACTTCGTTTGCTTTTTATAGAATTTAAAAACACTTCACAGGCAATTTCACGGACATGTTTCGTGAACAAGATGTCCGAAATTTCGGGTTCGCTCCTGGATACGGCCTCTCACAACACTCACTAACATGACTATCAATTTTTGAATCATTAAACTCCATTATTCGTACCACGTGCAGTTCAAATTTCTAATTTCTGAAAAAAATTCAAGTAAACGAAATAAAGTAACTAAATATATCAAAAAGCCACAAAAAATCCACAAATTGTAACTAGGAGTTCCTGATGCTTTAAAAGGTCTGCACAAAAAAATTGGAGGCCAAAAACAAAAAAAACAAAAAAAACTTTGCCGAGTGCCGGGGCATGGCACTCGGCAAAGGGGTCTTTACCGAGTGCTAGGAATAAGGCACTCGGCAAAGAGTGTTTTAATTTTTTTTTTTAAAATTCCTCTTTGCCGAGTGCATCCACAGGAGCACTCGGCAAAGAAATTATATAAAAAAAATTAAATCTTTGCCGAGTGTCGTGACAGGGGCACTCGGCAAAGTAATTTAAAAAAAAATTCTTTACCGAGCGCCAGATCTGACACGCTCGGCAAAGAATTTTAAAAAAATTAAATCTTTGCCGAGTGCCAGATCTGGGGTCACTCGGCAAAGAAATTTTTTAAAAAAATCAAATCTTTGCCGAGTGCCTAACAGCAGACGCTCGGCAAAGAAGGCCGTGACCGAACGCCGTTTCGCGGGCAGCCTATGCCGAGTGTAGAGATTTTGCCGAGAGTCTGGCACTCGGCAAAGAAATCCTTTGCCGAGTGTCTGTGTTTGCCGAGTGCCCGGCACTCGGCAAAGAACTTTTTGCCGAGTGCAATTCTTTGCCGAGTGCAGCACTCGGCAAAGAAGGTCTTTGCCGAGTGTCCGATTTTTGACACTCGGCAAAGAATTTTGCACTCGGCAAAGTCTCTGTTTCCAGTAGTGTAGCATTGGTTTTCATATAGTTATTACCTTTGGGCACATGTTGGTTTTCATTACGCTACTACAGAACTGACTTTCAGTGCCAGCCCATCACGACCGGTTTGTGGCTAAAACCGGAGTAATATTCGGGTCATCACTGTCGGTTTTAGCCATGAACTAGCAGTGATATTGGATCATCACTGTCGGTTTTTGCGGATATACAACCCGAGACTGCCCCACTGCCATTCGTAGCAGAGACCAAAAATGTCTATTTCTAAAATGAGACTTTCTTTCAAAGGTGAACTTCATAAGCAACTGTACTGAAGAGAACACTTGTGCGGCCTATCTCTAAAAATGGGACCGAGGCCCAATTAACATAATGGGTCCACAACAGTCATCTCTTTTCTCATCATCATACGAGGGAGCTTTAGAGAAGTCCTCTCCAGTGGCAGAGGGAAGGGGGTCCTCAGGAGGGCCTGACACCTCCTAACATTTTTATGCCCCCACAATACACCTCTTTGATTAGCTATCTAATACTCCAATCAGCTAGTTAATGATGTTAATGGTACTTCATGTGAGTTTTATTTGCATTAAATAGGTTGCCACATAGGCATTTTTATAACATGGCAGCGTATTTAAGAAGAGAGAGAAGAAATGATGAAACTCTCTTCACACAATTACCAACTCTCTATGAGCCATGAAATTAAATGCCTATGAAACTATAGAATGAAACTCTCCATTGAGAGTGGGTGTTTCATCCAAGTTTCATTTCATTTTATTTCATATGACATGGCAGTCTTAGAAACAATGCTATGAAACTCTCCACTGAGATTGGCCTTAAATTTCTTCTCTAATATGATCTTACATAATTAAGAATTGGTTTTTTCTATTATGTTCTCCATCTTTTTTGTTCCTTTTATTATTGCCTACAAAATGTCTAGTTCGTACTCCATAGTACACTCTAATTTTAGCTTATTCAATGTAATTAGTGCTTTCTTGTGTGCTCTCCCTCCAAATTGATCTCCAATAGCATTTATATTATTTGAGATTAATGCTCTTGTTATTTTTCTTATCTACTTTGACCCTATTATTACCATAATTCTTTTTTCTGGACTAAGAATTGGATTGATCAGGTGAACGTTAGAGGCCTAGGGTTAATTAATTTTATTATCTTTTTACTGAAATATCTGGTGTCCTTTTTTTAGTTTTCAGATTTTTTTTATATTGCAATACAAACATTTGTTTGGTTGCTATGTATATTTAGTGATAGAACCACCGCTCGGCGACTCCAGGCAGCTACCTGGGCTTGTCAATAAAATTCAAAGGGATATCTTATTTGTACAAAAAAGAAACACTACAATTTTTTAGATAAATATTTATGCATAATAAGAATGGTCATAAAAGTTTCTAGCTCTGTCACCATGTATACTCTAATCGTGTATGTATTTCGTCATACATGATTATTGTCGGTTTAAAAGGTCCCTCCTATGTCCAAATCATACTCATCTCTTATCTCATCATTATCCTAGGATGAAATACTATCCTTACCTAGTGCCCTTGAAATTCCCAGTGGAAATCGATACTTTGGGTGAAAGTGCCAACAGTTCCAATCTCTTCTTATACAATGATCGAATTGCTTAATTAATTGCTTGCACCACTTTTTGTGCATATATATACCGCTATGGCGGATGATGACTATTTTTGTAATTTCTTGGAAAATGCATGTTATTTCTGTGAACTGCAAAAGAAAATGATGTATGAAAAGAATCCATATATGCACGGATGTTCGCCAAAGCGGAGCATAGCTAGAAGTGAAATTCTCCTAAAAACATGGACAGGTAGACGGCCCTATTAATCAGGATATTTCTTGCAAATAAAATTAATAAACCATCGAAACCAAGGCTCTTATTAGGTAACCTCTGATTCCACGACTTCAGATTTTCAGAGACGACCAGTAGCTAGGGTCTCCGCCAATGTATGTAGAGCCGTGCCGACCAACGCTGGCCAATTAACTGAAGAGAATGTCTTAATCCAGCTTGCTTTCATAGGTCAGCGCAACCAAAATTAAAGAAATGCAGCTTGCTAACGAAGGATTTATGTGTGACAACTGACAAGTCCATCTGTGCAAGCACACGCCACGCGTACTTGTAGATGTTAAATTGCATGTGCCGCGTCGTGATCATCTTGATTATAAGCCGCGTACGACTGACCAGGCCGGTTGTGATTTGTGAATTTCTCAGAAAGTGCTGTGACTTGTGCCATCGATGCATGTTTGTCCGTTGAAAAAGTAGCCATCCATGCAATTATACCGGAAACCGGCACTTTGCCGAGTGTCGGAGGCTTTGCCGAGTGCCAAATAAAATACACTCGGCAAAAAAAAACACTCGACAAAGATGGCTTTGCCGAGTGCCATTTTTCGGCGTTCGGCAAAATGCGTCTTTGCCGAGTGCCCTTTTTCGGCGTTCGGCAAAATGCGTCTTTACCGAGTGCCCTTTTTCTGGCACTCGGCAAAGATGTATTTTGCCGAGTGCTATTTTTTTTGGCACTCGGCAAAATGCGTCTTTACCGAGTGCTTTTGTTTTGGCACTCGGCAAAGAGGCATTTTGCCGTGTGCATTTTTTTTTGCCCTCGACAAATCATTTTTTCAAAGCAATTTTTAAGGCCCAAAATGAATTCAAATGAAAAACTTTTCAACTATAAAGTTGTATAACTTTTCAAGATCTAAAAAGTTTATTTTGGTCATTTCTTTATTTGACAAAGCGACAATAATGTTGTTCATAAAATTTAGATCTCTCTCATATCTCTCATATTAGTTTCATGAAAGTAGAAGAGAGATATATAAGATTTGTGAACAATGTTACTACCATTATGTTGGATGAATAAATGACCAAAATAAACTTTGTAGATCTTGAGAAGTTATGAAATTTTATAGTTGACAACATTTTGATTTGAAATCATCTTGTCATGCAGAAACGACGTTTGAATTTAAAAATTTTAAAATTTGAATTTTTTAAAAGACCTCGGATGGAAAAACTTCATAAATAAAAATTGTAGATCTCTAAAAGTTATGAAACTATGTAGTTGACAATTTTTTGATTTGAAATCATCTTATCATGCAAAACTACGTTTGAATCTCTCAAATTTGAAATTCGAATTTT